TGTTACTTCACGTTGGCTGCATTCTCACATGCACTGCTCTGGCTCTCAGCCCACCCCCACCCCACCCCCACCCCCACGTGTTCTGTTATCTGTAGCTTGTCCTTTTTGGCCCAGGAGCACTGTACTTTGGGGGTTCAGCACAGTTCGTTTACCCTGTTTTCTTCCTGCTTGGACTTGGTGGTGCCTGACTGGCCATCCTGGCCCGTGTCTCCTGGTAGACAGATGTCCAGGTTTCTGGTGGGGCCGTCATTCCCACTTGTGGTTCCGGGAGTGGTGGCTCTCGTTCCCGGTCAGTGTGACTGCTGATACTGCTGCCCCCTGGATAACAGTGCTGCTTCCTTCTTGTCCTTGTCAACACGTGGCATTGTCCATTTGAAAATTTAGCCATCCCTGTGGGGGAGCCCTGGTGGCGTCGTGGGTAACATGTTGGGCTGCTACCCTCAGGGTCAGCAATTCAGATTCCCCAGCTGCTCCGAGGCTTGCTTTCTGCTACCGTAAAGAGTTACACTCTTGGTTGGCTGGTTGAATGTGCATTACCTGGAAGTACAGTAGTTCAGACCCAGCAGCCCTACTCCTCGGGAGAACGTCCCTGTGCATCCTGCAGGAGGGTGAGGAATCCAGTCAGGTGGCTGTGTCCTTGCCCCCAGGTGCAGCCCAGGCTGGAGGCCCTCTGCACAGGGCCCTGGCTGCCTCAGCACTGCCCCAGGGACAGGCTTGCAGGCTGGCGCCCAGGCCCCAGAGGCCGCTCCCTGGGGCGGCCGCCTCTTGGCTGTAGTGCTGCAGTTTCCTCACCCTAGGACTGCGTCACAGACACCTCATCATAAGCGCCACCCTCAGGGAGGACAGGGCAAGATCCAGGCAGGACGCGGGCATCTTCAAGTTCCTCCTCCTGCCCTCTCTCCAGCTGCGCTGCTGGCCGCTGTCGTTGACACGAGAGCGTAAAAAGTAACCCCGTGCATCCAGCATCCAGCCGCTGAGGTCAGGGCTTCGCCACGCCCCAGCGGGGCAACCCCAGGTAAATAGCTGCCCCTCTCTGAGCCAGTGCTTCTCTGGGGTAGGGGTGGGGGAGCCACACTCAGGAGGGAATTGGGGAACTCCAGGAAACAGCACAGGGTCTCCTGTCTCTGACTGCTCTCAGCCACACTGTCGCGTCCTGTGTCTGTGATGATGGCAGTGGGGGTTACCTGGTGCCAGGTCTAAGGCCGAGACCCCTGCTCACGGTGTGCAGCTGTGCACTGCCGATGGTTCTGGTGCCACGCAAAGCCCGAGAGTCGGGGGTGGTAACAACTGGGCCAATGAGGGGTGGGGTGGGCTGGGTGGTCACCAGGCCCTGCTCCCTTCTGTGTCCATACCCGGCTCCTCCTTGCCCTCCGAGAAGCACAGCAGACCCGCACAACCCAGAATTAGCCAACAAACCTTCGCAAACCCAGTCTGTCAGAACCTCCAAGTGCCTGGTACCTTCCAAGCACCTAAGCACGTTCTGCTCATGACTACGCTGCAGACGTATTAGTGTACCTGCGAGTGCTTCTTTAATGCTTTACATGCGGAAACAAGGTGCCCCGTGTCTTCCGAGCAGCTCTAGGGACCCAGGTGGCGTGCTGGGGTATGCGTTGAGCGGCTGACCGCAAGGGCAGCAGTCAGACCCACACGTTGCGCCGCTGGAGAAAGATGAGGTCTTCTACTCCTGCTGAGGTTGACAGCTTTGGGAACCCACAGGGAGGGCCAGAGCTGCTGCACCCTGGAGGGCAGTCTAGATGCAGCGGGCTTGGAGCTTGTCAGACAAGCATGTGACGGACGACCAGCCTCACTGAGCTGATCCAACTTCCGTATGCCCTGGGCTGGTGGACGGCGAAGGCCCGGCGCTCCTCTGTGATCCGGGGCGACCTTGGTGTCAGCTGTTATGTCTGAGCAGGAGCTCCCCTAGCCCCTCTCCTGACCCTAGGAGCCACACTGGCCTCTCTGCTATGAAGACTTGCCAGGCTCCTTCCTGCCTTAGGATCTTTGCATTGGACGGTCTCTGGCTAGAATCTGCTTCCCCACATGGCTGCAGGCCCCTCCCCGCCCACTTCCTACCCACTGGTCTGCTCAGATGCCCCCAGACAACTAGACTACAGCAGGCGTCCCCTCTCGGCCATCTCTTCCCCTGCTTTATTTTCTTCTCAGTCCCTCTCCACCTGACTTGACGGGGTGGGACTGGTATCTTGTAAGCCTCACGGCCAGAGGCGAGCTTCTGGCAGGCTGGGGCTGTGTCCTGGTGGCCGCTCCGCTCCAGCACCCAGGACAGGGCCTGGAGCCCCGGGAAAGCTAGGTTTCTGTGGCTGCTGTGCCTGCTCCTGAGCTGGGCACCTGGGTGGCCTTCCTGTCCTTGGCAGAAACTCCCCTACCCCACCACCTCCTCACCCAGTCATGGAATCAGCCCACTGACTCTGCGTTGGAAGGTGGGGGTCTGGGGGAGCATGCCTGGGGAGGGAGTGCCCTTGCAACCTTGGGTCAGAAAGGCTCCCTGAGGGGTGGCTGGTTCAGCAGCGACCCCAGGGCAAAAAGAGGAGGGGTCACAGAAGCACAGGCAGTGAGGTGGCCTCCTGCCTAATGGGCTTCTTCAGGGGTGGGGCTTCTGGAAGCCACGTGCTTTGCTGTTCTGTGTGTGGCCCCACTCACACCAGCCCCCTGGGCAGCAGGAGGGCTTGATTCTGTGCTGCAGGGGCCCTGGGTGGGGACCCTGGAAGTGACTTGACCAGGAAGGATGGGCTAGATTAAGCTGTAGACCACAGGGGTCTGACAGAGGCTGGCCGTCTAGGATGGGGTCAGACAGGAAGAGGGCAGCACAGGGTGACCAGGCCAGAGGTTGCTGGAGAAGGCCTGGGGAAGATCAGCAGAGCCAGCCCCAGAGGGACATAGAGCCACCAGCTGTGGGGAAGGAGCAGAAGCAGGCAGGCCAGACAGGCATGGTGAGTGAGAGTGTGTGTGTGTGTGTGTGTGTGTGTGTGTGTGTGTGTGTGTG